TAAGAGTACAAAAGAGAGTACAAAATTAGAGTAAACACTCTAATTAATCCCAAATACCCTAAGCGAATAACCTCACAAGATCACTCCAAAGAAAGGGTTCACACAAGTGCTTCCCAACACCAACTCTCATACAAAACACTCTTAATAAAGGAAGAAAGGAAGAAACAAGAATTGAAGACAAGTCTTGTTGATGTGTCTACAAATGAGGAGAAACTCCTTTATTTATAGCAAGAAATCCTTAGCCTAATAATGGATATTATGTCATGGCAAATGTCATGATCCACAAATTTGTTATAATGGATATTATGTCATGGCAAATGTCATGAAAATTTGGCCATATTACATTTTCTCTAGTTTAAAACAAGGAATTTCATCTGGCTACTAGGGCCATATATTCACATGCTTCCCCTTGTTCCTTCCTCTTATAGGACAACCATGGCATATTAGAATCTTTATCTAGTGGATGACCATATCTGCTTCATTGCTTTTGACATTCCAGTCCAGCAACTTTCAAGGTCATAACCCTGGTCCTGGCTACAGAAACTTTTGAGGTTTCACCCTCTTCTCTGCCATCTTATCTGCTGCCGTGCTGTGCTGTGCCGTGCCATGTCCCATGCCACATAGTGGCAGCAAAACTCTAAGAATGACTATGGATTCTTCAAAATACATTTTCAAAAAAAAAAAAAAAGGCATTTTCAAAAGCAGCTCAAATTCGAACACATCCGTGTGACATAGCAACCAAGCCAACTCCTATTCATCTCTCCACTAGATTTCACTGGAACCACTAGATTTTTCATCCTCCACCATGAACGCTGGAATTTGCCAACAAAAACATCACCTTATGATTTAGCGCATCTTTGAAAAATCTTGGGGTGGAAGTGGAAAACACCCAAAAACATCTCAGGACGAGAAGCCCATGTGAGTCGACCACGGACTATCTTTGTTTGAGGCAAACACAAATCTACAAAAACTTGGCAGGTGGAGCCCAAATTTAAATCTATGTTCCCTCTTTCTTTCTTTCTTTTTTTGGGTTTTAAATAGGGAAAAATTGCCTACTGGGAACAGAGGATTGTAAAAGTGGCAGCAGTGGTTTTCTTCTAAGTATATTGGGAAACACAAATCATTGCCATAAATATAGAAGTACGTTCAACTTTAGCTAATAGCCTAATACTACATTACGTCAATTTAATTTGCATTAACAGTCAATACTTCCTAGTATTTATTACCTTAAAAAAACCAATTTTCAAATCCCAGAGGACTTGTACTTTTGAAAGGAACTAGAGCCTTAACGAATTATAAAGATTGTAATGTAGGAACTGATTTACTATGAACAATAATGTTCAATTTCCTCTTTGTTATGTCATGTTAAATTATAAAAATTGTTATATCATGAATTAATAGTAATACATGGGTTGCTATGTCTGAATTGTCTGTTTTAAGAGCACATGTCTATAAAGCTTGAGAAGAAACAGAGACCACCATATACCAAAGATTTCAAAGCCAGCCATGAATTGACATTACTCAGTATAAGAATATACACAGGAATCAAAATCCAGAATAACATGAAGATTAAAAGCGGAGTGTAAAAAGATAACCTCTAACATCAAAAACAATAGTAACACTAAGACTCAAATGACATTAAGAAAACCAGGGTACAGTTTAAAAGCTTACACCCTATTATACATTACTTAATCTTCATCTTTATGAACTCAAAACATTCAACTTTAACAAAGCCTGACCAGAACTCCAACCAAACTGTTGAAGCAGATAATGAGCAGATGAGCTCCTCCCTCTATCAACTTAGAAGCATTTCCGGTGAACAATGGAAGGACCAGATTCATCATATTCACCTTTTGTTATCCACATCTGTAGTTCAAGAAACAAAATCAGCAAGGATCCCAACAAACAAAATTTCGGAATACGGCTAAACCATATTAGAGTTTGAGGAGAATTCATTATTATGCATTACCTGTTGGAAGGTGCTGAGAGAAGCTAAGATAGATCCTCCAATCCAGACACTGTACTTGCGTTCAGGAGGCGCCACCACCTTGATCTTCATGCTGCTGGGAGCAAGAGCAGTAATCTCCTTGCTCATGCGATCTGCAATACCAGGAAACATTGTTGTTCCACCACTGAGGACGACGTTTCCATAAAGATCCTTTCTGATATCTACATCGCACTTCATGATGGAATTGTAAGTCGTTTCGTGGATTCCAGCAGCTTCCATTCCAACAAGTGATGGCTGGAATAAAACTTCTGGACATCTGAACCTCTCTGAGCCAATGGTAATCACCTGCCCATCTGGTAACTCATAGCTTTTTTCAACAGAAGAGCTACTCTTTGCAGTCTCCAATTCTTGCTCATAGTCAAGTGCAACATATGCTAGTTTCTCTTTAACATCGCGGACAATTTCCCGTTCAGCGCTAGTGGTGAATGAATAACCTCTTTCGGTCAAGATTTTCATCAAACAATCAGTAAGGTCACGACCAGCTAGATCCAATCGAAGAATTGCATGAGGAAGGGCGTAACCTTCATAGATTGGTACTGTATGTGAGACACCATCACCAGAATCCAGTACAATACCTGTTGAGATGGCCAAAAGCATAATTAGAAAGGAAAACTTGAAGATTCAAAGCATAGCATTATATGGCAACAATCACACTATGCTAAATCAGAACCATAAATAAAAATTAAAAGCTGAAATGAAGCAAAGATCACCAGACTTCTCTCCATGACCGAGTCACTTGAAATTTTAATTTAAACAATATCGTAATGGATATGCCGACTGTTAAATAATCAATCTACAAATCAAAAACTTGGTTATAAAATAAGGGTAAGAGTCAGGTTGCACCTGTTGTACGGCCACTGGCGTATAGGGACAACACAGCTTGAATAGCAACATACATGGCAGGCACATTGAAAGTCTCAAACATGATCTGTGTCATCTTTTCTCTATTGGCCTTGGGGTTCAAGGGTGCTTCAGTAAGTAGCACGGGATGCTCTTCAGGAGAAACACGCAACTCATTGTAAAATGTATGATGCCAAATCTTCTCCATATCGTCCCAGTTGCTTACTATTCCATGCTCAATGGGATACTTTAAGGTGAGAATACCTCTTTTTGACTGAGCTTCATCACCAACATATGCATCCTTTTGACCCATCCCGACCATAACACCAGTGTGTCGAGGTCGACCAACAATACTAGGAAAAACAGCCCTTGGAGCATCATCACCAGCAAATCCAGCCTGCAGGTAAATAGATCAAAAGAGACATCAATTAAGAGAAGTATTACGATTTATTCCCAACAATCAGAACCAGAATACAAAACTTGAAATACAAGGGTGCATATCTTAAGCGGTTCAAACCAATGAGGACCAAAAGACTTGTTTTTTTCCCTACTAAAATATAAGATAATATTTTGCTACATTTACAGTTAATGAGTTACATGCCTCCGGTAAAAACCAAAAGACTTATTGTATCACTTAAGAACTAACCTTAACCATTCCTGTTCCGTTATCACAGACAAGGGGTTGAATATCTTCTGAGTCAGCCATCTTTTAAAACCTGGCACAAGGTGGTATTAGTGAAGAACTGTAAGAAAAGATGAAAAGTACTATTCTAGTAATCGAGCTAGATGTAACGAAGTATGGGTAGAATAATTGAATTTTCTAGACAGGCCATGCATGTACTATGCAGAAAAAGAAGAAGATACACAAATAGAAGAACACATAGATAGATACTCATGGAATTATATTGACCAATCAATCCACAACTACGCCTCAATCTAAACAAAATTGAGACTCAATTTAGCTGATCTCCGGAATCTCATGATCAAGTCAGAACTACCCTGCTTGCTAAGGGGAGCAAGAATGAAATTCAAGAGATAGAAACTTTCATTCAAGATCGTTTAGCACCGTAAAGATAATCCAAATCCACATGAGATCTTACAGACAGACACGGAGTATTTACTTGTTACCACCAATTGATTTACAGATCCTGATCTTAGTCGCAAAATTGATAGTATCTTCTCTAAATTCAAACTTGTAAGCATGGTATTAACATCTATAAACAAAATACTCACAAAGCTCGAAAACGGATACACAGTCATTTTAAGCAAGAATTGGAAAAAGGATCATCTGATAAAGAACTTTTATTTTTTTGCATCAAACAGTAATAAAGAAATTAAAGAAGATCAGAGAGATCAATCAACAGAAAGAAAATTGTGAAGAATCTGAAAAATTGAAACGTACCAGTTGAAGATCACGTTGGAGCTTAGGAGAAGTAGAGAAGAGGAAGGGTTTAAGGAGTGTCGTTGAAAATGAAGAATGGGAATATACGTGGTTTTCTGTATTCAAAGGCAGCAGTTTGGTATATAAGCTATAGTGTGACGTTGTGGGGGTTTATGATAAATGAAATTGAAATTCAAATGAAATTAACAATTGTGGCATGTTTGGCTGCTCACTAAAAAAGCCAGGCAAAGGGATCTTATCATCTCTCATAGTAGTATCTTTTTCTTTCTTTTTTCTTTTGGAAGAAGGCGGGCCGGGTAATTCATTTTCTTGTAAATTAAATTATAAACCACATTGTTATATATTGTTGACCAGGAACTATGTTTAGCCTATCATTTTTCATTTTTTTGTTTGGAACTATTAGTAATTTTTAAAATTACCAGCAGTGTAATGTTTGTTGAGTGAAATTGTAGGACCACAATTATATTTTTAAGAAAAAATTAGAGAAAAAATTATATGAAGAATTGTAATAATGAGTCCTGTGTAACTTTTTTTGTGTGAGGGTTGCATGCTTAAAAGATTTAAATAAAAACTAGACATTAAAGAGTAAAGTGGATTTTCAGTTTGGAACAATTAGTGAAATACTATCTTAAGTAAACATATGTTGATGAACCTTTAGAAAGGATATTATGCTAAGAAAAACAATCTTTACAAGTTCCTTGTTCATTTATTTGGCGACTTGTTATCCATTTCCCAACCTTTTACATTATTTTCGGATTTAGCTTTTGTCTCTCCGTGTAATTTTTGAAATATTAACAATTATAACAAAAAAAGTAAGTAAGGATTTGGATTAGTTCTCACTTCTCACCTACGTTTATTGTTTTTAAAAAATACTTTTTGATTGATTTTCCATGACCATTTATTTTTCCAAGCGCCATTGAATAAAAATAAATATTATTCATTAGAGGGTAAATAAACAAGACATGAACAAAATGACGACGCCAAAGTTAATTTTTCAAAATTAAGGAGGTGGATGTTAACCAGTACAGGTCATCTTAGAAGATTCTCAACAAAGCAAAAGATTGCCAACTAAGCAACTTTAATTAAAAGGGTCAATTACAACTTAAAATTTGAATTAAAACAATATAAAAACAATAAGAAAGAATCAGATGTGAAAGTTTGAAAGCAAAACTTTTTCTTTGCTAAAAAAGAAATGCTAGATGGGGTCTGGTGAGTAATGGAATCCAGTCAAAAAATGTCGGCATCCAATCTGGAATATTTGAGGTGGTCTTCCTAATTTCCACGTCAATCTTATTTGGTTCAAACGTAGGACCGCCATCCTAGGCCGGTGGTTGGTCTACCTGGCCGCCGACCTTTTCTTTTGGTTTTGGCTGTTATCTTAAATTAGTCCAATCACCGATGCATGAGTAAAGTGGTAGAATTAATGGGATCTCTAGCTTTTCATTAATAATCGCACGATACACTGTTAGTATTAAAAAATATTAATTAAATTAAATTATGATCGGACTTATTTGAATATATTAGATCATATTATTTTAATAAATTTTAATTATCATCTTATTTGTCAATATAATATACCCAATAATAAAATCTCTATTAAATTAAAGGAACTTATATAGTCATTGAATAACTTTTTGTTCTATATTTTTTCTTATTCTATTATCTCATGTTTAGTATTTTTACATTGTTAATAGAATTTTTTATTAGTATATTACTTTGTTTAATAATATTTTTATCTACTACTTTTTTTTTATATAAGATAATAGAAGATATATATTTTATTACTCGTGAAATATTTTTTTATTTTAAATTTTATCCTATTATTCTCAATAATATTATCTGAATTTTAATGAATAAAATCTCTATTAAATTAAAGAGAGTTGTATAGTCATGAATAACTCTTTTGTTCTGTATTTTTATTTATTACATTATCCAATATTTAGTATTATTGTATTGCTAATAGAAACTTTTATTAGCATATTACTTTATTTAAATTTTTGTATGTCACTTTCTTTTTATAATATAATAGAAGATATTTTATATTTTATATTTTATTCTATTATTCTCAATAAAATTTTCTGAATAAATAAGATTTTTATTTTTTAAAAAAACAAAAACTATTAAAAAATAAAGAAATTTTGAATTGGATTTTTTTTTTTGTAATTTTAGTTTATTATTTTAAAATAATTTAAAAACTCCAACTTGAAACTACTCCACAATTTAGATGGGCATTGTTTTTAATTTTTGTTTTTTATTATAAAATATTTTATTTTATTATTTTATAGATATTTAAATTCAAAAACTGTTTACCCTCAAAATTGGTTAATAATTAAATTTGTAAGTGGTTTTAAGAACATGCGAATTAATTTGATACAAAATGATAAATTGAGTTAAAATGAACAAGTAAAGATACAGTAAATTCAAACCACGCGAGGAGGATGATCCTAGCCTTAGTGAAGTATTCACCTTCGATCCGGGCTCACAATGGACAATTTTGATGAACGGGAGAAACAGCTTACAATAACAGTGAAAATAGTAGTATATTGCTTTGGAATGCGTGTTACAATGTGCCTAATGAATTATCAGACCCCACAGTAGGGGAATCCTACTTTAAGTACAATTTCATAAAAGGTAAAAAATCTTCTGTTTAACTGGTTGTCAATTTTTCATCGATACGTGCCAAGATCGACGCTGTGATATCGGGCCGGTCGCGGATATTACGGCCTTCTGTTGGTCGTACTTGATTGCCCGACAATGTTCTCCGAAGTCTTTCAGGATTTGGATTGATCTCGAATCATAACCCCGATATTCTCGAGGGCAACCATCGTGTCCCCGGTTTCTTACTCAATGAAACCTTTGCTTCGATTCTGATCCTTCACAATCATATCTCGAGCTCGTTTTATTTTATTGGAGGCCGGAGTGTATCATGAGCTCGGTGTTTACCCGTATACAGATAGTCCCCTCATTTCTCGGAGATCAAGCTGACGAGAAACGACATGAGCACCCCGATTCCTTCTTCAATACGCCGTGACAGAAACGACAAAAAGCCCGGAACGTCTCGTCAGTCATGTCATGATGGCCTTAAATACAGGTCAGCCGTCGGTTGTCTGTTCTTGGACGCGAAGCGTCGCGAGGCCCCTATAAATACCTCCTCATTTGTTCATTGTTTACTTTACGTTCAAACCTCTACCCTCGTGCTTTTAGAAATACAGTACCCTCTTTTACACTCTAACATTTTTACCTCCGTTACTCAAGTACGTTGTATAATATTTACTCGTCTTCTACTCAAGCCAACACATCTGAGCTGTCAACTTTCACCATTTCTTTATCTTTTTCAAGTTTTTTTCATACAACAATGGCCCAAAATCCTCCAAATCGGTTCCCCAAAAGGTCGCTTCTACCTCCCAAACGACTGCCGGAACCAACGAAACCACTTCTGATGTGGTCGACCTCTGGAGATCCGCTGCTAACATGGTTACCGATGAACCGGCTCCTGAACCTCCCTTGAAGATGTTCATTCCTGGGGGTTGTTCGATCGCTGATGACTTCAAGGTCGAGAATCCCTCTTCGGTGCAGGGTCGGCGTGAGGAGGCATCGAGATATATTTGCTCGATCACCGAAGATGATCTCCCCTTAGTCCGAAAGGACTGCAACTGGGCCGAAAAGGACATAGTGGTCCCCAACTCTGAGGAGGCCATTACCACCCACGTTGAGGGATACCTAAGTGTCTACACTTATCCCTTTATGTTGGGCCCGGTGGATCCGGTCATTATAGACTTCTGTAAGAGGTACGAGGTATGTCTCGTCCAGATCCAACCATCGTTATGGAGGATCATAATCCTCCTTCGATTTTTTGTGAACAAGATCGACTCATGTCGGTTCACTGTAGATCATCTGCTCCGTCTGTACAGTCCTCGAATCTTCCGAGGGGGACTGATAAAGCTCGTGCACCGGGATAGTAAGGCCCTATTTTCAAGCATCGATGAAGACCGAGATCGAGGTTGGCAGGGATATTTTTTTTGAGTGAGGACCTCAGACTTGATTCCGGCCGAATCTAGGTCATTCCCCGACAAGTGGAATGCATCACGTAAGTACAACTTCTCTTTGAATTTTTATTTCATGCACATCTCCCTTTTTCCTCATTGGTGTTTGTGGTGGCGCAGCTGTCGCTCAAGTACCAAATGTCATTCCTCAGTTAAAGGAATGGATCGAAGGCATTGTCTCGCAAATGCCCTATTTCGAGTGCTCGTGGCGCAAACTTTCAAAGGCCGTTGGGAGGCCCGTTCTCATAGTAAGATCTTTTTCCCTAATAAGTTGTGCTAGGCTTCTTCTTTTAGCACCATGTTATTATTATTTTTTCTTTACTTCTCTTTTGTAGGTTTGCCTAAGACCGTCGAGCTTAGGCCCCGGTTGGGGACGAAGACTTACATGCTGATTCTTCTGCTTCGGGACAACCCGGAGCCACAACAGGGGAGAAGAAAAGGAAAAGGTCCCCAAGTTCCCCGAGCTCGGAGAAAAAGAAAACGAGAAGGAGGCTGGTTCGTAAGCCAAAGTAAACCTCTAGCTCCCGAGTGCTTGACTCGGAATCACTCCTCTGGCTTAGAGACGAGCCCGAGGAGGATTTTGTGGCCCATGAGCCGTCTATCCCTGAGGAATGAGTGGCAGCCGAGGGGGAAACGATGGAAGCTAATCCCCTTTCAGGTTTACGAGACTGATGTCGAAGTGAGGATCGAGAACTCTCAAGACGCTAGCTTTGCCCCGCCCGGCATTATAGATATTTTGGGATCGCCTTCGTTCACAGAATCAATGTTCGATGAAGCCCGAACGACGAAGGAGCAATCCCACGAGGGGGTCCATGGAGCGGACCATCCCCTCCGAGGCTTTTTTGATAGTGTAGACTCATCCACCCTGGAGGATTTCATCGAATTGGGTGACTTAGAGTTGCCACGGAAAAGTCCACCCTCAGAGGTCGGTAGGTCGAGCTTGAGACCGAGATTGATCAATCGGTTCCCTTCTTTGAGCACGAATCCTGGTCAAAAGTGGTCTGTCATTATCACCATTCCGGAGGATGCCCGGATTTTTTCGCCCCCGTAGGGATAGCTAGTTACCTCTGGTGCCTGGTAAC